CAAAATGGACCTCCTATAGCCACTTGAAAGGATGCTGTAAACAGGGAGAAAATTTTAAACTCCCTTAAACCAAATCAGAGACGGGAAGCATGAAAGGAGGAGGGAAAAACAAACAGTGGCACACAAAAATAGTTAACCACGAGAACTAGGGAAAGGAAAGCTCACTGTGGGACTTCACATTAGTAGTGGACGGAGTTGTCGCACCTATCAACAGTGACAATTTAGCAGCTAGCGAGGCTGATCGATTTGTGATGCGAAACAGGGGAGATAATGAAGAACTCCAGCATTCCCAAGCAGTAAAACAATAGAGGAAGGAGAGGAAGGCTCCTCGTTCCAGTAGCTGGTGTCAACCCGTAGGGAGAACGGAGGAGGTAGACTGGAGGAGCTGAGGACGTGCTAGCTGGTTTTGGAGCTTTCGAAGAAAAATGAAAAAATAGGAATGGAAGAAACTGACATGCCTTTTATCTTTGTCTCTCTTTAATCTGGTTTGTTTTCTTTGTTTTCTTTTTTTTTTTCACTAAGGGGTAAACTTGTAATTTCACCCAAACACTGGAGCAAAATTAAATAAAACCTCTCTCTTGCACATGATAGATTCGAACCGAGGACCTAAAAAATTAATTGACAATACAACTACCACTAAACCAACAATCCTTCTTATTTAAATATTTCCACAATTAATACAAATACAATTAAAATACATTATTATATATTTTTAAATTTTACTTAAAATTCCTGGGTATTACACCATGCAATGTAGATGTGTACTTGATCCATGAATAAAGATTCAAATGATACATTATACGTATGCAAAAATTGACCCTATCAATTTCCCTACTAAGATTGATTAGAAGTATTCAAAGCAATTTAAAATATATTATTTTAATCAATACAATTAGATGGAAGCTCTTGCCTTTGATCTTAAATCAAGTTCAACAATTCCAACACAATCAAATCAAGTTCAATCCTCTACTACTTCTAGTGTTTCAACTTCAACCATGACCAATAATGTGCAAGGGGTTTTAGATGTATTTAGTTTCATGTTATTATTAATCTTATTATTTTATTTTAATTTATTGGTTGGTATTTTATTAAATTTTTACATGTTGTAAGATTAGATTAATTATACAAGCATGGATGTTATGTTTGTTGGGAAGTCTGAGCTAGAATTTTATTTGGATGAAGTATTACTTTAACCCCATGCATATCAAGATTTAGTTGTGCTCCATTGGTGAGATACTAATAAGGGTAAAGTTCCTATCCTTTCATAGATAGTGGCTAATATCCTTAGCATTTCTATCATTACAGTAGCAAGTGAATCATCTTTTAGTATTGACTCACGTGTCTTCACAAAATATCGAAGAGCTCTTTTTCCTAATAATTTTCAAGCTCTTATTTATACTTGTAATTGTTTAAGTGGTTTTCAATATGATGGTAACATAAATATGATTTGTTTGCAATTAGGAGTACAAATATAGTTTTAGATGGTGATGATAAACAAGAAGAGCCACAAGACTTGGACTTTGATCATCTTTGATTATGTTGATTGTTCTTGTCTTGTTATTTTTCAACTTTGATGATATGTTGAATACTTGAATGTGTTATACTATTGTTGGATTAATCTCCACTTTGGTTCTAGTTGTTCCATTGGATAATGGATATCTGTGTGGTGTTTTCAATGTTTTATTTGTCTCATATAATCTTATTTGTTGATGCTTGTTTTATTTTAACTAATTTAATTTGAATTTGTTATGAAGAGATCTTTATTTACTAAGACACACACTTTTTCTTTTAACATGGTAGAGGAAATGGGTTTGTGGACCTTGTTAGAACTTAGAAGGATTTGTTAGCACAGTAAAATTTTAAAAATAGAAGATAAAAAGAATTAAGTGGCTATTCACGACGGCATGAATAAGCTTGAAACTTGAAGGGGTTCAGTTTGGGCTTGGTCATTTTCTCAAGAAGTTTGAGCTAGCTTGATTAAACTAGCCTGCCTGAGTTATTAACTTTAAAATGGGGAAATGCCACTTTGAATACACACCAAATATGATTGGATACAAGATCAGCTTTGCTAAGTCATTTAAATCTTATTTAGTGTTACTAAAAATTGCAAAGAACTAGAGAAAATCTTATGCATTTATGAAAGTTGAGATTTTAATAATTGTATTATTGAAAACTTATAAATAATGTAATTTTGTATGCTTTTTGTTTTAGTTTATCCAATTACCGCAATTCTTGATCTTAATCAAATCAAGGAGAAGCCGTTTTGCAAATAATAAAAACTTGAAGCATATATTGATATACAAATTAATTAGGGAGAATGACATATAGGTCCCAAGAGGATCAATTAATTTAACTTAAGTCCTAAGTGCCAAACTCTAAGAATTTGCAAGTTCAGTTCTCAATTTTGTAACTTTGTTGTGATAATTTGCAACTAAAGTTCCAAATTTTAATAGGAAAACTAAATTTGTTTATTCTTCAATCGTGTTAAAATTTGAAAAATAAGTTGCAAATTTATCACAATAAAGTTACAAAATTGAGAGCTAGACTGGAAACTTTCTAGAGTTTAGCACTTGATCCTTAAGTTGAATTAAATGGTCCTCTTGAAAACTATCTATCATTCTCTTGATTAATTAAAGACATATGAAGTTTGAAAGTGTTCAAGAACATTTGATAACAACTCTAGCTTTTTCTGGAGACCATTTAACAACTCTAACTAATCGACTAGTTAAGGAGCAAGGAGGTGTGCATGAGGTTCAAGAAAGAGGAGTCTAAGCCAAACATATCAAGAAGGGCATGCTCAAGGATCCATTATAAGGGATCGAAGGCCCAATGATTAGGGCTAAGACCAAAGCCATGAAGGATGCTCTTAATGGATTGATTTAAGATTTTATTGAAACCAATCTCATGCCCAATAAAGAGATCCAAGGCACCATCTTCACCCTTTGGAGCATCCAAGAAGATTTGTCACATGCAAACTTGGAGTGCAAGATTGGATCTTTGACTAGTTAAGCAAGCGTGATTGGTAGATTAGTTTCCTTAGCTATTAGTTTCATATTTTCATTTAGGTATTTATTTCTAATATCTTTTAGTAATTTCCTTAGTTTTTGGGTTTCAAACTTGCAATTTAAATTATTATATTTTAGGTAAGATCTTAAAAAGTGTCATTATTTAGGAAAGTTTCTAGATTTGATTTCTATTACAATTTGGTCAACTTTCCTATTTTTTTCGCCATAGTGGCACTATCCACCTCCTTCATTTTAGAGTTAGGATTTTTATTCAGTTGCTTATATATAAAAAACGCTCCTATAGGTCCTTATTTGTATAAAAAAATAATTATTTTTTCAACACCTATAGGAGTGCTTTGACAACAAGCGCTCCTCTAGGTCTGATTTTTTTTAAAAATTTTTTATTTGTGAAAACCTATAGGAGAGCTTAAAGAAAAAGCACTCCTATAAGTCCTTATATATATATATATATATATATTTTTTAGACATCTATAGGAGCGCTTTAACAACAAGCGCTCCTATAAGCCTTATTTTTTTTTTTTGAAACCTATAGGAGCGCTTTAATATAAAGTACTCATATAAGTCCTTATTTTATAAAAAAATATTTTATTTTCAAAAACCTATAGGATTGCTTTTGTCTAAAGTGCTCCTATAGGTCTTATTTAAAAAAATTGCTTTTTTTTTAAAATCCATAGGAGCGAGCACTTTATTGATAACTGCTCCTATAGGGTTAGTATTTAGGAGCATAAAAAAAGTGCTTCTGTATGTGTTGCTTATATTTATCGGAGTGCTTTTTTGCATAAGCACTCTAAAATAGGCACTTCTAAAAATATATTTGGTAGTAGTGTCATGTAATTGGTTTTGACAACAAGTTTAATTGGAATTTTGAATTATTCACATATTGTGAAAACTTTTCTTGTGCCTTCTAAGTATTTGAGAAGATTGAGATTATTAAAGGATTGGTATTCCTTTGTAGGTGCCTGTGGAGTTAGGGGTCAAAAGTCGATGCCTTTTGGATTCTAAATCCTAGACCATTAGAGAAAGGGTCAAGAGATAGGTTCTTATTGGGTCAACTATCCAAACCTATCTTGTTTAGTTTCTTATCTTTATTTCTTGTTCATTGTTGCTTCTAGTTTTTCACTTCTACTCTATTATTTGTTCTTGTTTGTGTAGTAGTTGACAACTGCGTAATGATCAGTTAGAATTTGGAGGGTCTACTTCCAAGCGCAAGTAGGGATTTTCACGTAACCAACTTTTGCCCTCTAATAGCATATCTAAACTTAGGAGAGAATTTCAATAAAGAACAATAGATGTGATTTATCTTCAAATCACACCCAATAAATTCTTAAGGGACTAAATAAAAATTATATTTTGAAATCAAATTACCAAAATACACTTTATTTATTTCTTTTTTAAAAAATATTTTAGTCACTATTACTGAAGGCCCACCGCCAATGGCTAGACTGTTGATGTCACTAGGGCTACCTCTAACATTGTCACCAGAGCTTTGATGACCACTGGCCAATAGGTTGAGAATTAATTTTCCATGTTAGCCAAAGAAGGGTTTAATCCCATAACCCTTTAGTTTGCCATAATAAGATTGACCATCAAGCTACCCAAAACTCTTTGTTATATATTACAAAAAATAATAGGATTTAAGTGCATTTTTATCCCTGTATTTTCCTTCAAGGAGCTTCCTAGGCACCCTGTACTAATAAGTGGGTCAATTTTTTTTATAAACAATTTTTTAAAGGATAGTCCTAAAACCAAAGCAAGGAGTAATCTTGTAATACAAGAGGATAGAAGTTTCAAAGGAGATAATGATTAAGAACAATCTTCAATGATTGAAGTAAAACCAAAACAAGGAGTAATCTTGTAATACGAGGAGGAAAAAAGGGAGTTTCAAAAGTAGATAGATAATGATTAAGAAATATCTTCAATGATTGACATAAACCAAAACAAGGAGTAATCTTGTAATACGATAAGGAAAGAAGTGAGTTTCAAAAGTAGATAGATAATGATTAAGAACAATCTTCAATGATTGACATAAAACAAAAACAAGAAGTAATATTGTAATACGAGGAGGAAAGAAGAGAGTCTCAAAAGCAAGATAATGATTATGGATAGGCTTTAATGATTGACCTAAAACCAAACCGAGGTGTAATCTTGTAATGTTTGAAGCCTGCAGCTTCTAGAAGCTTCTTCCATTCTTGTTCAGTTCTTTCTTTCCCATTGAGGCAACCCATCTTCATAACGTCGAATAAGAGTTTCACATGTCTCATGTCATTGTCATCTTCCTTCTCCTTTATAACTGCCTCAATGATTATCACCTTTCCTCCTTTGCCTTTCTTTGTGATTGCCTCCTTACATTTGTTCAGGATCTTCAAAGAATCTTCATCATCCCAATCATGTAATACCCACTATAAGAAATCACCGGCACCAAATGTTAACCCTTTTCAATAATTCAATTGAATATTCAATGTAACAATATTGTTATTAAGAAATATAAAATCCATAACAATATTAGATCAAGAAGGGAGTTTTAAGTGAATAATTGGAGAGCTTTAACATATGTGATTTAATTTGATTGGCTCAATATAGATTAGTCGGGGACCTGATTGAGCATATGTAAAAACTGTTGTTGATATAAATAAAAGGGGATGAGCTATGCACTTAAGATTCCTTTTTCTTCATGAACTTTTTTTAAGGAGCATTGGGCATCTTGTATTGGATAAGTGGAGCAATTTTCACTCAAAATCATTTTTCTAAGGGATGAAAAACCCCTTCTTTATTCCTTGGTCACTTGTTAATTTCTAAGAGATGAGAATCTTGTATTGGCCAAGGCCTACATGTATGATAGGCAAGACTCTGATCATGTTGTTGATACTAATTTACCTCTAAATTCTTTTTCTAGTAGCACTAGGCACTTTGAAGTTTTATTAAAATAAAACTTCATAAATATTTTTAAAATATTAAATATTAAATATTTAATAATTTTAATAATTATAAATATTCACCCAAGATTTATAAATTATTTTTTAAATATTGGCATCTGAAATTAGTTTTCATAAATTTAAGATGGGAAAAATTTCATTATAGCCCCCTTAACCAAACTTATTGACAATTAACCCTTCAAATTTTGAAACATCAATTCAATCCCTGTGGGTCCCAATTAGGTTAAATTAAAATTAATTTTTTTTAGAGACGTGACACAAATAACCTCAATTCCTTCAAATAAAAACAACTGACATAAGGAAAATGAATAATTGATATATAGAAAATGAACATTTGACACAGGAAAAATGTGCAACTCTCATTAATACCAAACACCATACAAATATAAATAAGTGAAATTAGGTGCATTAACAACTTATATAGGAAAAATAAATAATTGATGTATGAAAAATAAACATCAAACATAGGAGAAATTTACAATTCTCATTAATAGTATAACACCACTATAAATAAAAACAAGTGAAGCTATGTGCATAAAGAACTCATGGAGGGAAAAAGAACATGCATATATGGAAAATAAACAACTGACGTAGGAGATTGGGTTTATTTGTATCATTTTTCTCAAAAATTGAATTTCAATTGATATTTCAGAATTTTAGGCAGGTTAATTGTCAATAAGTTTGGCAAGGAGGTTGCAGTGAAAATTTTCCTTTAAGATGACTTGTGAATTGTATGTGAACAATTTGTAAATAATAATAATAACATTCACAAATAAATTATGAAAATCGAGCTTATAAGAAAATTAATATCGATTAAGTCTTTTTTAAATTTTTTAGATCCTTTTATGTAATTGTTTTGGTCAACTAACAATCTTCCTCCATGATATTGCACTACCCAAATTTAATTTTTTAATATTTTGCAACTTTGTATTAAAAATAGAGAGAATAAACCTCCAATTAGCAGATAAAATTAATATTGCTTTGTTGAGTTTGCAACTTATTTTCCTAATTTTAAAATTAAAAACATATTGTGTTATATGAAAATATCAATTAAGAACTTAAGGGACTTATTTTGCATTTTAACGTTTGTTGGGACTTTATTTGAATAAAATAATTTTTTAAGTGCCATTCATCCTTATGAGTGTAAATCACTCTAGACATATTACAATTAATATATTTTTAGCCTAGTTGAAAAGCTGATCAAGTAACACTTCAGTTCCAAATATCTTTTAATTTGACCATTATAGCTAAACAAAAAAAATTATGGAGAAGGACCGAAAAATTTAAGGGACTTAATCAATGTTAATTTTCTCATAAGATCATTTTTGTGATTTATTTGTAAATAATAATATTATTTACAAATCATCACACACAATTTACAAGTCATCTATATATATAAATTTCTATAAAACTAGCTTGCATTGTAAATATTTAAAAATAATTTATAAAATTTAGATGAATATTATGAATAATAAAATTTAATTTATTAAATATTAAAATATTTAATAATTTAAAAATATATATTAAGTTTTATTTTAACAAGATTTTTAGAATACCCAGTGCTCCTAAAAATATACTCAAAGACATAGTTAGAGTCTTACCTCTCATTTTGTGCATGTCTCACCCACATGCCACATCAAAAAAAAAAAAAAAGACAAAGTTAAAGGGTGATTAATAGAAGGATTTTTTTTGCCTCTCGAAAAAATGGTTCCAGGAAAAATTATCCTGCTTATCAGTACAGAGTGCTTAACGCTTCTAAAAAAAGTTTAACGGTGAAAATGAACCTTCACCCTTATATATTTAATATACTTTTTCCTAATAAAATAAAAACATATGAATTTTAAAGTATCAAAAATATTAATGGTAAAAATTTTTGAAAATTAATCCACATGTCCTTATATATTTCCTCAATTTTGAATCATGCATTTATATAGTTTGATCCATTAAATATATGTAACCCCTTAAATTTAAAATTATGAATGAATTATTAACTTTTTAAAAACAAAAACAGTTTAGAGTTAATAAAAATATTAAATATTTTTGGCTGAAAAAAAATTGATTTAATATGTTTAAATTTTATTATTTTTAATGAAAACTTTATATGTATAAAAATTATTTAAAAGAAAACTTAATTACATAAATTTTAATTTATACAAATTATGTAATTAATTCTAAAATTATATAATTTTTTAATAAAAATATAATAGTTCTTAATTTCAATTTTTAAAGAAGAAATTCAAGGATTTTAGCCTAGAGCTAGGATTAAGAAATTTAATTAATTAAACTATAAGACCTCAATTAACATAAAATAAAATAAAATATAAGGATCTAATTCAAATTTAAAGAAAACTATAAAGTCCTACAAATATATTTTTTCTAAAATAAATAATGTTTTAACTTGCCTTTAGAAGAACAGCATCGGCGGAAGGGATGGATTCAAACATGCTACCACCAACATAACTAAAGTTATTGCTTCCTAAACAGTTTTCCACAACGTGTGGAAGATCAAACACTAAGCATTTTAGATTTGGGCATGCTTCGGAAATGATTCTGCATGTAGTGCCTGTGCCACCTCCAACATCAACTATGGATTCTAATCCTTGGAAGATTGACTTAGAGTCTCTCAACACCACGCTAATCATTTGTGAATCACTCACCATGGCTTCATTGAAACACTTAAATTTTTGAGACTCACGTTCAAATACATCCCAAACACCACCCCCAAAGGCACTCTTAGCCATTATATTTGCCTCACCTTTGAACCAACTTCCTGAAAAATCAAAGTCAGCCATGAGACCAGCATCAGCAAACCATAACACCATTGGTGCTAGGTTTGGTTCCATGCCTTTAACGAGTAGTTTAGAAGATGGAGTGAGAGTGTATGCCTCCATTTCTTCATCTTCCTCGTTCACTCTTTTTTCTGCTGCTAAGAAGCCATTGTGCACCAGTAGGCGAGCAAGCTTCTCTAGAGAGGCAAATTTTGTCGGGTGAAGTTCAAGATTGGAGGCTAATTGAGGAATAGTAATGGGTTGGCCATGGTTGTGGATTATGTCTGGAATTCTTAGCTGAACAGCACACCTGAGAACTGCGGCATTAATGTAGCTTAAAATGTGTTTGTACAAGTGAGCTTGAGCTTCAAAGTACTCATCACTTGCTGGGATGGCTTCAACGAACACATAACTGTAGGGTGACTTTTTTTGTTTTGATGAGCTCTTCGTCCTATGTCAATAAGCTCAGTTTGCAATTTGGGCCTATAAAAAGAACTCATTTGGGCATTGTTTCTATAAAGCAAAGAGCCCATGCTTACGTAGAGCAAATTGACCAAGAAATTAAACACTTATCTAGTTTGTTAAGAAAGTTACATTTAAAATTAAACACTTAACTAGTCTGTTAAAAAAGTTACATTTTTTAATGGAATTTAAGTAATTCACGCCGTGTCCATTATCTTTGCTTATTACTATGCTTTTCTTTGATGGCTTTTCTATTTATTATTGAGTCCTAGTCTGTTTCCATGTCTCTACCGAGAGCATTCAGAAAAAGAAAAGCTCCATTCATATTTTCTTATCCATGACTTCTATTAATCCTTATCCCCCCGGTTTTCTCAAACAAAGTACTTTAATCCTTTTATACATGATCAATAACTTATATATTTTTTTTTTCTTAATTTCCTTGTTGATTATAAAGTTTTAAAATGTTGAGCATGCAAAACCTCTTATGCTTGACCAATAATGTTGTGGCCACTTGCTTACATTAATTGGTAGCGGGGGTATGTATTGGTGGGACTAATTCAAGTTTAATTTTATATCGCTTATAAGTTAACCTAATTTGCAAGTTAGGTTGTTGAATTTGATTTAAGCTATATTTGAATGACATAACTAACTCAATTCAAACTTAAACATACACATAACTAACTCAATTCAAACTTAAACATACGTCATGGAAGATTGTGGCCACTTTCTTACATTAATTAGTAGCGGGATTATATATTGGTGGGACTAAGTCAAGTTTAATTTTTATATCGCTTATAAGTTAACCTAATTTACAAGTTAGGTTGTTGAATTTGATTTAAGCTATATTTGAATGACAAAACTAACTCAATTCAAACTTAAACATACGTCATGGAAGATTGTTGGCAAGTCAATTGCGAAAATGTGGACATTTATACATAATTTGTATATTTAATTCATATTGCATTAAATAATAGGGTTTTTTTTTTACAGAAAATAATAGGGCGCAAAAATACTTATAATTTTTTTCAAAAGCTTCCAATATCTTTAAATCAACAATAGTGTATGGATACCCACTAACTTTATAAAAGAGGCTAACATTCTCTAATCTATCAAAATAGACTAATGTTGACTATTAAGTTCTAAGGATAAAAGTTAATAGATTGTGGACTAATGGCCTTTTTTATAAAGTTAATAGGTACCCATGCATAATTGTTGACCTAAATATGCTAAAAGTTCATGTACAAAAAGGAAGAATCATATTTAAGGTCCCGAGTTAGAAAAATGGCAACGAAGGCCCAAAACAACAGAAAGTTTAGCAATGAACAAGACAAGGTTTAGCAATTTAGTTGTGCATGCTGAACTTTCTATTGTTCTAGGCTGTCATTGTCATTTTTTTCTCAACTAGGCCTTGAATATGATTCTCCCAAAAAAATTTCTAAGTATTTTCATATCTTAACCTTAAAATAATACTATGGAATGTATACTTAGAAGAACCTCTGATGTTTGTCTATGAATATTGTCTTTTTATTTTATAAGATTAAGGTATAATTTTGCCCTTAAACTATCCATAAAGGAACAATATTGCCCTAAACTATTCAAACTAGCAATGTAGCCCTTAAATCAATTAAACTAGAACAATGTTGTCCCTGCCATTTAAAGCCCTAACATTTAGCCATTAAGTAAGAAGGTTGACCAATGAAGGCTACTTGCCTCAGATGACTTTAATGACCATAACTTTTAAATTAAATAAATTTCTCTTCCAATTTATATTTTATTTAATTGTTTTAGTTTATAGAAAATGGAGAGTGGTGGCTTGATGAAATTTGTGTTGGTTGCTCACTTGAAGGTCATGAGTTTAAATTCTATTAAGCAAAAGTTTGATTTTAGTTCTTTTTTAAATTATAAAAAAACCTTGTGCCCTTTTTTGTAATTTTCTTTATGCATTTTCTTGTAATATTCCTAATTTCCTAATGTTTATATTTCTTCTTCTCTCAATCATATGCACACGTCAGGGAAAAAAATATTTTTGAATCCTTCGACTCTCAATCTGGTTCACCATATTTCTGTCTCCCTATGTGCCTTTTCAAGCTTATGCTGATCTCTTATGTGTGTCCCTAGTCACTGCCTTTCCCTTCGTTCTTATTCCTGTGCCATTTGAACAACAGATCTTATTAATGGGAAGTAAGAGAAAGGGATCTAAAATTTCCTTCCCTTCACTGAGTCGATCTACTTCTCTACACCTCACTATTAACTGTCCTTATTGCTATCATTGCTCGCTTGCTACTCTTCTCTTCTTTTACATTATCGATTGTTGTAGGGGTTGAGTCACCAAATCCTCCTCCCTTATCGTCCACCTCTACTCCTCGTTTGTTTTGTATGGGCATGCATACGTGTGTCTTCGCAAACCTCTCTTTCTCCTTAGTTTTGGTCATTGCACACGTGTATGGTAAGCTTCTTGTTTCTCCTCTTGTGATTAAAGATTCTGCCTTTATTTTTTCTTATTGTTGCCGTGAATCTCTTGAGAAATTAAGAAGCTAATTTGATTTAGTTGATGTAACATCCGAGAAAATTTAATCTAGGTACATTAATCTAATAAGGGTAATTAGTGAGTTAATGAGGTTTATGACTAGAGAGGCTTAACTTGACATAATTATTGTGATTTCAGCCTTAAAAATAGGTCCGGATTGATAGTAAGGAAAGAGGGAGAAAAAGTGAAGAATTATTCTCTGTGCCACATACTGCTGTGCATGGTCAGTCTACCGCGATGCACAGAGATAAATTTGAAAGTAACGGGCTCCTCTATGGCCATGGCACATGACAAAAAATTTGATAAATCAGATACTTTCTGCATGCAAAAATAGAAGAAGAGGAGAAGAGGAAAACGAGGAGAACGCTAGAGCTCTACTAGGGTACACACGTTGGCTCCTATTGTTGATGTTTTGAAGCTCTCAAACACTCAAGGTAAGTTTATCATGTCTTCTTCTCCTCTCTTCCCCTCATTTATGATGGTTTATAGTAGGATTTGAGTTGAAAGGTTGAAATTTAGTCTATAAAGGTATGGGTAATTTCATTAGTTAAAATAAGTATAATAAAAATTGTTTAAGGTATTAGAACACCACATTGATGATTTACAAGTGGTTGATCTATGGGAGCATTTAATATCCAAAAATTAACATAAATATGATAGTTGAGAGAGGTTTATGTGCATTAATGATGGTTTGAAGTGTTATTAATGATAATGTGCATTAATGAAACCTAATGAGCCCATTGGGTATGAATGGATAGTGATTATGGGTTGTTAGAATAGTATGGGTGGAGATATGTGTTGATAAATTCTCAAGATTTAGACAATGATTATATGCTTGTGGTATGGATGTAGTAAGATTCATTTTTGGCACCATTCAAGCTTGGGAGAAACTTTGAAAGTTGATATTGTGAGGGGTAAACCTTTGACCTCTCAAATGTTTGAGGTAACTAAGGGAACTTAATCTTTATAGTTGAATGTTAATTGTGTTTGTGAAATGTGAATTATGATTTAAATTAATTATACATATTAGTAAAGTGTTTGATTTGTAAAATGGTTTTGGAAAGAAAACCTTGATTATAGCACCATTTATGTTTTACGAAATTGATTATGATTTGTCATTATGAATGGAGAATTGTGATGTATTATGTATTAATTATGTGGAGTAATTGAATATGGTTATATGAGATTATTTGCCATGAATTAATCATTGAAATGCATAATATGTGATAAATGTGCATAGCATGATCATTAGCGGAAGCTCGCCTAGGGAGAGGAGTAGATTGGTTTAAATCTACATGACACTGGTAGTGACCGTTAGAATCAAGAACTAGCCTTGGCACTAACCATTGAAATCGGGAGGTAGCCCTTGTCCCATAGTTGATTTGAGACTGTCCTACTTATTCTACAAGGGACTTAAACCTAACTAGTCTCCACCAGTTCATGAGGAACTAGATTAGGGGTACGACACCCCATGGTTATTAATATTGGGGTAAACCAGATTACATAAGTGAGTGAGTTCACCCTAGCTCAGTAGCTCCTTACAAGTGGAAAGCTAGGTTAGTCCGTGAAGGATGTAGCCATGTGATACTCATCGGTTTCATGTCAGAGGTAACAGGAGGATATAAGGTTGGCATATGATCATGCATATAAGTTTGGCCACATGGTTGTTAGTTTTATGGTCCGACATATGTTAGGAGTGCATGATTGTTATTTTTATGACCCCATGTTATGAATTGCAAAATAACATGATTATTGTGTGTGATAAGTTTGGTCACATGGTTGTTAGTTTTGTGAACCATGGCCGAGCATTTATTCATGTTATTTGTACTAAATTTCCTATTTGTATCTATTTATAATTAATATGCAATTGTATAGGTTAGGTGAAACTTGGTTACTGAGTGATTATACTCACCTCAGTTCTCAATATTTTCAGGACATAGCTCATCGGATCTGACTCGGGGAAACCATACAGAGGCTTAGGATTGTAGTGTAATCCTCCTTATGCCTCTTTTTCTTGTTGTCTTGTATATTTGTTAATGTAATTGCCAACTAGGAACGTTTGATGTTATTTTTTCACTACTTACATTATTTTGTGTGTAACTTGTGTATTTTGCGCCTTGGGTTAGTAAGTTTTGATTGTAAACACATAGATAGGGCTAAAATACTTGTGCAAGTAGAAATATCTGTATTTTGAAAGATTTAGAATGAAATTGATAAATTTGTGCAACTTATGCTCCTCCTTTATGTTTTTAGAAAATCAAGGTTGAATGGTGATTATGTGATATAAGTGTTTTTGATTGTATGTGGTGCATTACACGGGTACGCAAGATTCTATTGAGCGTGGTCAGATGGTTGGTATAGACTATTGGTACTCGTGGTTGAGTTAGGACACCCATTTATGAAATTTTATAAAAAAGTGGTAAAAAGGGGTTTTGGTGTCTAACTTTTTATAGAGAGAGAGAGAGTT